TTTTTTCTTCAATTCGTTAACAGCTCTTCAAAAGCCTGTTGTCTATAACACCAAGGTTGCTGTCGAAGTTGCCAAGCAAGTATATGTTAAGGAAGGTATGTCTTTCCCTACTGGTGCTCAATTCTCTCAAGCACAACAAACTCTCCAAAACGCTTTAAAGATCAACAACCTCAAGAACTTGACCTTTGCTGATGCCGCAAAGACTGGTGTCGTTCTTGCTGAAATCTATACCTTTTTCCTTATTGGTGAAATCGTTGGTCGTAGAAACTTGATTGGTTATAACGTCAAGTCTGAAGAATCTCATCATTAAACTTCGAGCTATAATTATGATATAATAGTAATAATAATAAAAATAAAGAAAAAGACTAGAAAAAAAGTATTTCAACCGTGAAAAATCTATACGACAGTGATTTATATTTGTTTTATTACATTTAATATTCTATTTTCTACCCTTCTTTCCTTTACCACCAGTTTTTGGTGTTCTCATGTTGGTAAGACGAGCAGGTTGTGAAGATTTCTTTGCAGCTCTGGCTGCCATCTTTTGACTACGACCATCATCCTCAGCATCATCTTCTTCCATTGCTTGCATACGTCTTCTCTTTTGACGACTCATACCATCATATTTACCACGTTTTTCTTTAGGCTTTGTATCTGATTTATCTTCTTGAATACCAAACTTAGCTTTATGATCTTCTTTGCCTGCAGTTTGACCAGTTTTCTTTTCTTTTTCAGTCTGGAACCAAGTTCTAGCAGGTCTAGCATAAATTTCAGCACCATGATGAAGCATATTTTCGGATTTTTTAAGTTGCATCTCTGCATTTCGGATAGCACGTTCTTGTTTCTCTTCAGCCAAGACTTCTTTAATTTGAGGTCCTAAGCTTTCTACCTTTTGTTTATATCTTTGAACAACTTCATGATTTACAACTCGATTCTTGACTTGAGCTCCAACCGATGACTTGATAGCCATTTTTAACATTTTACGATCAGATTCACCCACCAACGTAACAGAGCGACCATTACGACCAGCACGAGCAGTACGACCCACACGATGAAGATATTGAGCAAATTGTGTAGGCATATTATAATTAATAACTGTTTCAATACCCTTAATATCAAGACCTCTTGCTGCTAAATCGGTAGCAAGTAAATAATCAACTTCGTTATCTCTGAATCGTTCAAGTGCCTCTAAACGTTGTTCCTGAGTAAGATTACCATGTAACTCAGCAGCAGAAAGTCCCATTAAACCAAATAAAATTTTCATTTGATGTGCTGCAGCTTTGGATCTAAAAAATACGATAACCTTTTCTTTAAATGTCTTTCTACATAATGCAAGTAAAACAGCTGCACGATCAGATTCACGAGTTTGACGAATACGAACAAATTCTTGAATAAGACGAGAGGCTGCTTGGTTACTGGGATCAACAAACAAACGAACTGGATTGTTTAATGACATGCGAACCAATTGATCAACATTATCTGTCATGGTAGCAGAGAATAACATGGTTTGTCTACCTCTAGGACAGGCCTTGATAATTTCGCCTAATTCATCCGCAAAACCATCTTCCAACATACGATCAGCTTCATCCATAACCAAAATTTCACAAGCATCAAGATGGAAACCAGTCGAGTTACGAACATGATCAATTAAACGACCTGGAGTAGCAACAACTACATCGGGCTTTAACTTTAATTCTTGTTCTTGAGTCTTGACACTTAAACCACCAACGCAAAGTGCAAATGTGATATCTGTATAATTTGCTAATTTGACAGCAACACTGTGTACCTGAGCAGCCAACTCACGAGTGGGACAGAGAATAAGAACACGGGTAGAAGGAGTCTGTCTAGGTCGATATAAAAGACGTTCTAAGATAGGGACAATAAAGGCGGCTGTTTTACCTGAGCCTGTAACAGCACCACCACAAATATCTTTACCCATTAAAGCAATAGGGATAGTACGAGATTGAATATCAGTAGGTTTAATAAATCCAACATTGGATAAACCTTTGAGAATAGGACGAGAAAGATTCATGGAAGCAAATGAGTCATGATCTTGTCTCTTTTCATCAGATTCATCGGCAAAATATTCCTTTTTACGCTACAGAAAATGTTAATATACAGGCGAATTATATCACAAAAAAAAAGAGAGAAACTTGCCTGTTTTTCTGCTTCATCCTCAACAGCTTCTTCATCACTATTTGCTTGAATATCTTCTGCTTCACCGTCAGTAAGATCTTCTTCAGTATCACTGTCAGAATCGTCCTCATCGTCTTCTTCTTCAATTCTTTCAGCACCAGCACCAAAACCATCGAGCGCTAAATCTTCATCATTTTCTTTATCATCGTTCTCATCGTCTGAAGCTGCACCAACGAATTCTGAAGTCTCATCCACCTCCTCCTCTACTTCTGATTCTTCCTTAATATCAACTTGCTTTGACTTTTTCTTTTTATCTTTAAGATCCTGCCTCTTTTTAGCGATAATATCATCAATTGAAGTTCTGTCAGCATCACCCTATTTAAGTGTTACAAATATTAGTTGGCTCTGACAAAAAAAAAACAAAAAAATATTTTTATATTTCATTTACCTGCTTTCCTTTCAACATACCACGAGCAGCAGAGAAGTCCCAATCTTTTCTGGTAGCGTTACCGCCGTCCATAGAAAAGGTAAACTCGGAATCAAAATCGTTTTCTTTGTTGGCCTTAGTTTTCTTTTCAATATCGGCTTTGATAGTAGCTTGGATTCCTTGCTTCTTTTCACGGTTGGCTTGCTTTCTTAATTTTTTAAGCATCTTCTTGTCCATTGGTTTCTTTTCTTTTACTTCCTCTTCTTCTTCTAACTCTTCCATGGGATCCTCAACTACAATATCTTGATCGTCCTCGATCGTCATTACAAAATCATCTTTTTGTCCCATTTTTATTTGTTAAGATCTAATAAAGTAACTTTTTCTTTTTTTTTTTTTTTTTTTTTTTTTTTTATTTCAATCAGTAAAATAGTCACATAAAAGTCACAGTTCTGGCAGTGAATTAAGGTACACAGATCTCAACCAGTTTTGTAGTAGTAGATAAACTTGCATATTCTCAATACAATTATTAAGCAGAATTGTTTAAAAAATAAAACTAAAGCTTGCTAGAGGAAGACGTGAAGGACTTATCAAGAGTTTGAGTGTGAGAGAAAAAGCTTTTTATTTTATTAACTTTGTAATGATAGAGTAGGTATTCTATTCGAAGTCATCATAGTCATAAACTGAAGAAAATTTGGACTTATTATCATATGAAACAAGAATTACTCATATTATTTCTATTGTACACATAAAACTACATTTTATTTTATTTTACTTTGATTCCCTTAAATTTGTAGCTCTCAAACTCGTTTATTGTAATATTCTTTTTATCTATTTTTCAAACTTAGGATTTGTTCCATCGCATAATTTTTTAAAAAAAAATACAAAATGAGGCGCTCACATTGGGCTGTGTATCCTTCCAACTTTATATCTCTGTCAGTCCGTTTAGAACGTAGTAATAAATTTGAATAATGCTCGATTTCTACCCTGGAATATTCAGTTTTTGCATATTTAAATAAAATCATCTTTTTTTGATCTTCTAAATAATCTTTCTTTTGATCGTCTGCCTTAAATAACATAAGATCCACGACACTGTAATATTATTTATTTTTATGGCAAGGATTGTTCTTAACAACGATGTTTCTTGACGAGGGTATTTTTCTAAAAACTCTATTTTTTGTGTATAGAATTATAGAAACTGAAAAACATATAAAAAACTTGAAGATATAATGCAATTTAAAATAAATAAAAAAATTAACTGTTTTGTGCTTAGACTGTCAAATGAATCTGTTTTATTATATTTGGACTTCTTTGAATATTTATTTCTCCATTGTATTGTAACACTTGTAGTTAGTTGAAAAGTGTGGTAGATGTAGTAAGGAAAAGAGAGTTCAAATATAAAACAAAGATTTAGTTTTATACTGCGAGCGAGCACCACGTTATTGTTATTATATTTTGGTATAAAATATAAAATTAGGTAACGAACCGAGATAAGTTTAAATAAAGAAAATAAAATAAAGATAAAAAATAGATACAATGAGTTTTACGTATAACTAATTTAAGGTTCAACAATAGAAAAATAAAATAAAAACAATTACGAAGGGTAAAATACCAAGCACAACAGTATTTTACCAAAGTCGTTAAAAAAACAGAAACTGACGCTCTTGACTTTATTGAATCTCTTTTTCTTTAGCCAAATGTCGTATGTTTTATATGAATATAACGTACGACTTATGGGAACTATTATTTAGGGGAATAAAAGATGATTTTATTACTGTTACGTTCCGATTAGTCATAAAGTGGTAAGAGAATAAAAAAAGAGAGAGTTCGCGTATAAATACAAAGAGATGTTTTTATACAAATGTGAGCACCACGTTATTGTTATTATACTTAAAGAAAGATAAAAGTAGGTAACGAACCGGAAGTAAAGTAAATAAAAGAGAAAAAGAAAATAAGTACGATGAGTTAACTGATAAGTAATTCAAAGGAATCAAAGTAACTGAAAATAAGAAGTTTTAAATATAAAATAATAGAGAATATATATAAGATTTATCTTAATATATGAACAAAAGAATAAGTTATAAATTGATTGATTTTATTTCAGTATGAAAAAATGTTTGATATTTATAGTTTTGAAAAGTATGATAGGATCGGTAACGATCCCCTTGATTTCGTCCAAGAAACGATTATAAGGTAAGATGGATAAATTTCGGTTAAAGATATAGGAAGATAAAGATAAAGATATGTAATCAAGAGATGATACTAAGCTAAAAAATATAATGTGAGTTGTTTAAATAAAATATAGTGTGTTAGAATACCGAGGTAAAATGGCGCTGTAAAGTGACATTGTAACATTACAATTGACATTTAATTCTATTTTATACAAAACCAAACAGCATTTAAAAGAATAGTGACAAAGCTCTAGAAAAAATATAAAAATAGATGCCTCGGTGCTGGATTGAACAACAGACCTTTCGTTTACAAGACGAACGCTCTACCACTGAGCTACAGAGGCTTTTGTTTCCAAATTAGTTTGTACAGTAATTTATTTAAACATAATTTATAATTTAAGCACGTGATATTCACGTGAGTTATTGATTTTCATTGGCTGATTGGTACATAAAAATATTTATTGCTAAGAAAGTTATTTCACACCCAGGGCGTTCCCAAGCAAAAAATAATAATAAAACGGAGCTGAAAAATAGCGAAAAAAGTATTGACTAGAATAGTAATAGTAAACTTTAAATTTATTTTTCCACAGCCAAATTTCAAAATGTGTAACAGTTTCAAAAAACATTCCCAAAAGGTCAATGTTGGCAAGAAATACTACAGTAACACCAAGAGCGTTGTTCAAGAACGCTTGTTCAACAACAAGCACTATGCAGAAACTGTTTTGGATGGGAAAGAGAAATAAAAGGTAAAGCTTAAAGAAATAAAAAGATACGAGGAAAGTATTGTTAATGTCGTATTTGCGTCATCTCTACTTATAAATATAAGTAGATCAGGGTTATAAACTAAACATTATAATAAAAACCTGACATATCTTCATAATAATATACATGTTTAACATTGTATATTATTATCAATATCTTGAACCTAAGGAAATATTCTATATTCAAATGCATATACAAATTGACGTAAAATAAGATCAATGGTAAAAAAACCAAGATCAAATAATAAAATATAATTGAGAATAAAACAATACAAATAAAGTAAATACTCAATTCATATTAATAGAAAATAAGAGATATTTACCGGTAATAGTCTCGATACAAGCTTAGCTACCTTGTGTTGGGGTAAGAACGGCTATTACTGGCAAAAATACATTATTAATCTATTAATATTAAATAGTAATATTATATAACCTGTTTACAAAATAAATAAAAAAGAATAACATTGTTGGAATAAAGATTATCCCAGCAACTGTCAATTCTATCCCGAAACCGGGAAAACATGATATCAATCTAAGAATAAGGTTGATCAGGTCGTATGATAGAAAAATAGTTCTTGTCAATTTAAAAGTATGCGCATTTACCAATGAAATCTGTAACAACGGAATCCAGACTAATAACAACCATGTAAGTAATTACAAGATGATCTTTAGTCAGGAACCAGATATGTTGTTATCCAATCGGATAGATAGGATCCACGATTATTTATGGTCAATTCAAAAGAGTAGAACGTACTTATTCAAAAGCAGAAGAGTTGGGTATAGATTCATTTAAACCCATCAAAAAGATGGTCCTTATTCAAACACAACTCATCAGGATATTCAAGATATAAAAGATGATTATTATTTTAGTTTAGAAGAGTTCTTTCAGTTTTATTTTATCTAATAAATCAACCCTAAGTCTTTTCTCATTAATTACTGATTGTCCACAGTTAAAACTCTGTTACGATAGTTTTATTTAGGAAGAAAGATATAAAATCAGACAAAGGGAAAACTATCTAAATGATGGTCATATTTATATGTTTTCTTTAGCGGAAACATACGGGAAGTGATATCAACTGATATCATAGAAGATGTATATAAATATGGTAAAGGTAAGTATGTTCATGATTTGGGAGACATGAACGTAGTAAGAAGATTAGTATTTATTTACATTGTTATAAATGCGCAAAAATTAATCACATATTACTACTAGGTTGGGGGGGAAGAAAACTCGTTCACAGCTGGTCGTTACGCTTCAGTGAAGTCCAAAAGGTACACCATCACGGGTCTTTTTGGTGCTTGCTGTGCGCGTCACGACTCTGTTCTCAAGCTGGTGGACTGATGTGACCAGACATGTTCATATAATACTTCACTCACATATTCACATATACACGGTCACTACCACTTAATCTATTATCCACCGATTACTAATAAACATTCGTTCTACTAAGTTCTATATACTATCGTCCAGTAATACTGATCCGGTAAATAGTAACATGGATTATCCGTTAACATTGACAGGTTCTGGTTATTCTATTTTAACTACACCAGGAACATGGGTCAATGTGACACGATGATTGGTATTGTTCTTCCTGCATCAATAACAAGCACGGACCTGAATAATGATTTACACTCAGTTTTGACATGTATATAAACCCTCCATATTTTTGTAAATAATAAAAGAATTATCTTATTTTGCGTCTGATTATTTTTATAGTTCCTTTACTATTTTTTATTTCGTATTCAATCTATATTTTATAGCTCGGATACATCATGGACATGAATAGTGGTGAAGGGTAATAATGATATCTAGAACAAAAAAGCTATAGCTATTTAAACATTAACTCGTCATTTTTTCATAATTTGAACCTTAGATCTCAATATTCATTAGCCATTATACATCAAATACTTGGTGATTCAGGTAATGATGATTTGTCCGTCAGCACCTCGCCTAACATCAACATAATGTATGATATCGCATGCAAGATCAAAAAGAAGCTCTACGTTAGTATTACACCATTTGGAAGTATTTGAAGTTAAATAGAATAACTGATTAAATTATCAACTATGTTTATTTAGGACCACTTCCCCGGCTTGAAGGAGAAATGCAAACTTGCTGTTCCGGTATTTCACGCCTAAGCGCACATTCAACATTGCCAGGTCATTCACAATCCTAGATATAGGGACGGGTTTGGCCTGACCGATGGTGAAGGAATTGAGCGCCTCTGGGCATACCTTAACAAGTTTGTCAAAGTAACCAGAAAAATGGGGCAAGGAAATCGTAAGCTTGTTTTGTATCGAGCTGTTAGAGCATATAACGAGAAAAAAAAGGAGACTATGGGTAAGCCATTATTGATGTACAAGTTAAAATGATTAAATGTATTAATAAACTTGTCTTTTTTATTGTTAAAGCTGAAACCTTGATGAAGAGGCTCAGAGCAGCTGAATTAAAAGAAGCTGCTGCAACAACAAGATTGGGCAATGTACTGGCATTGTCTGATTTACTGGAAAATGACTGGAAAGACCACGTTGAAAGTTTGACCAACAGTCATACTTTCTCTGGAATCTCGCAGCTGTTGCCTCCTGATCAAGCTGAAGTGACCGCTTACTTTGCACTCTTTCGAGCCAGAGAGACCATGGTGTAAGGGGTTTTTTTTAATACATTCAATAGTATTTAATATATTGTTTTTACTTTTTTTTTAGGCAAGCCACACCAAGCTTCCGTGCCAAATTAAACAAACAAATGGATAAGCTTCTTGTCATTATTAGGGAAACAATCCCTAGTTTTGTTTTACCTACTGACCCCCGTGAACGACAAGAGATTATTGACAGTGTTGACATCTTGCGTCAAAGATTCGAGAGAATCAAGAAGGATACTTGCGTCAATGCGATACGCTCTAACATTAGAGCGTATCACCTTACCAAGTATAAGCTTTACCAATCTGGTCACATAGGTACTTTTTTTTTTTATACACTGTAATGGAAAGCATCACTAAAATTCTTATGTTCTTCGCTAGGTACCAAACTTGGTAAAAGGTATGAAGAGTCTTTACGAAAGCAGAGAAAGACAATCTCTGCTTTGACCAAAGCATTCAACGATGAATTCCACAGTAAGTTGAAGTACCAAATGATATTGTAGTTTTCGCTTGTGTATTAATTGAAAATTTTAGCAAATTACACGTACAAGGAAATGACCACTAAGGATCACCCCATTTGGGGTGTTGAAGTTAATGCCTTGACCCTTGATCATTTGGAAAGAAAAAGAGCAATAGAAGAACAAGCTCTTTTGAAGGTAATTACATTTAAAATTAATTGTTGATTAATCAACAAAACTAATTATTGTGCTTTGTTAGAGGGACATCTTCTACCTTCGAAAGTATGCTTCCAGTAATTTGGAAAAGAAGAAAGATTGCCTCGGTCGTGTCAAGACCAAGATTGAAGTGGAAAAAGATGAAAATGTTCTTTTTAAATACGAAGGTATCCTGAAGTTGTTGAAGTCGAAAGTATCTCAAGCAGAAACATTCAAGAGACTTGTCATCGGTAAAACGATGTCTGTCTCTGTTTCTGACCTTGTTGTACCGGAAGCTTCTGATACTGAAGGTGCCTTTGCGACTAATGATTTAGATGGGAATTACCTTGACGATGAAGTCGAAGACATTGAAGCCTTTGGAAACTTGGATGATGATGATGATGCTGACGAAGATGATGATGAAGTAGAAGATTCTGATGATGAAGTTTGATTTTTTTTGTATCATTCAGAATAAAATACTTTTTTTTGTACCACTTAGAATAATAAACTTTTTTTTTTTTTGCTACTCATGTGTATGCATAATTTCATTTGCTTATTTTTTGTAAAAGCTAATTATAAAAAGCAGCTTCGACCGTTATCTTTTATAACGTAGTAATGAATTTATACTATTATACAGGAGCTTTTTTAAGCATGACCTTTAATTATTTTACATACATATTAGCCAATCAAATTGAAGAAAGAAGAATTCCAGTTCATGTCATTTTTGAATGTAATTGTAACAACATATAACTATATCATACTGTAATAACATATGCAATTGCATTTTAATACAGTCTAATAATCAAAGTAGACTTTAAGCATTTATATCAATATCTGTTTTATATAATTACTATGGTATTTTCTTTTTAATAAATAAAAATATTATACACTTAAGATATATTCTTGCATATATATTCTAAAAATATAAATCCAAGATCAAACTTTATAACTTACTCATTTAACAAATACACTGAATAAGTTTTATTAAATATTCTAAGTTATTACCAGCTTTTAGATTTTAATATCTTAATCTGCATTGATCTTCTGAAGAAATATAATATAAAAGTTAAACATGTAATACATATATTTTGTAAATTATGCAACATAAATATTTTTTATCGATTTTTTTTCTATTGTTATACTCTCTTTTTTGTTATAGCTTAAAACGAATGCATTTCAATATAAATTCTTATATTTTACAAATATTAATATAATTTATTTCTTTATAAAATGCTTTTGATATTAAATATGAATTCTGTGATTTTATATATATTTCATAATAATATTTTTAAAA